TTTTTTTTTTTTTTGGTCTGTTATTGTGGCAATCTGCATCTGGACTTCAGTGCTCACCTGTTTTCCTTCCTGGCAGGCTGGCTCTGGTGTCCTTAGGAAAGTACTTTTCTCTCTAGTGATGATGCTTGCCTTAAAATGCTGTCTACTTATGCAGCCACACTAGCCCTTCTGTCTATAATGTCTCTGTCCTCCTTTTGCTTTTGTTTTAGGTTTTTCAAGACAGCGTTTCTTTGTGTTTCCTTGACTGTCCTAGAACCCAATTTGTAAACTAGGCTGGCCTCAAACTCAGAAATCTCCCTGCCTCTGCCTCCTGAGTGTTGAGTTTAAAGGCGTGTGCCACCACTACCTGGCTGTGTCCACCCTTTTTCTTTCAACATTTTCTATGTCTTTGCATTTCAAGTGTGTCATGTTCAGTGGATTTTAAATCTAAGTCTCAATTTGGTGGGCATTAATCTTTAACTGAACATCTACACAAGCCACAGCCCTACTTTCTATTTTTTCTCCCCTGTATTGAAATGTAGTAGCTTGATCCTTCTGGAATATTACACAGACAGCCAGAAACAAGAGTCTGATGGTCTCCAAGTCTGCCTGTGGCTCTCATGACTGCTCACAAACCTGGTTCTGACAATTCTGTCATCCATATGGGTCTGTTCTACTATTCTGAGTTTTTAGACATGCTACCGTGTCCTCATACTTTGGGAAATTTTTATTGAGTGCTAGGCATCGAACTGAAATTCTAGAGCGAGCTGGTGGTGTCCTTGTTATCTTGTTTGTTGTTGGTGGCAGCCAGGGGAACCATTTGCCCCAGAACATGTTAGTACAGTCACCGAGTCAAAGCCAGGCTTCTGTCCCTGCAAGATCTGCTCTGTTTCTTGTTTACTCAGAGTGTCTGTCTAGCCCTTAAGCATACCAGTGCTAAGCCTTGAAGATTCCTGCCCGTCCAGCCTGGTTGGGATGGGAATTCTCTTCTTTTTCCCATGGGCCTGCATGACCCTCTTCAGCTTGTGCTGCAACTGAGTCTTCAGAACCAGCTGGCGGCCCTGGGGGATGCAGCCCCTAGCCTAGCCGCGGCTTCCTTCTCCCTGGCCTCCGCCCTCCAGCTCAACCTTGTCACTCAGGTGTCCTGACCCACAGAAGGAGGATGGTCCAACTCACCCAGTTCTCTGTCAAGTCAAAAAAAAAAATCCTCTGGCCATTGCTCCAGCTTGTGTTAATTTAAAAATTTGACATTTATGTATTTCTTTAATTATATGTGTGCATGTATGTACTATAGTGTGTATGTGGGGCCCAGAGGACAACTGCAGAAGTCAGTTCTCTCTTTCCATCTTGGGCATCTCAGGGGTCTAACTCACATCATTAGGCTTGGCAGCAAGTGCCTTTACCCCCTGGGTCATCTTGTCAGCACCCAGCTGCATTCATTTTCTTTGCTTCCTTTCTTTTATTTTCTTTTTGTGGTTTTGCTTGTTTTGTTTTTCGTTTTTGTCTTGGCTGGCCTGGAACTCACTGTGTAGACCAGGATGGCCTCAAACACACGAAGATCCACTGCCCCTGCCTCTACCCCTTGGCTTCCCCTGCCCTTGCCCCTGTCTCCACCTCCCAAGTGCTGGGATTAAGCGCATGCACCACTGCACCTGGCCTTAACTGCATTAACTTAAAACACTGTTCTAGGCTAGGTGCAATACTCGTGATTTTCATGCATGTCTTTAAACAAGATTAGAGCCTGACAAACTAAAATTGTCCCTAATTGTTGGTGTGTGTTGTTGTCAGGGAGCAAAGTCCAGGCCTTACATAGCCAGGCAAGTGCTCTACCACTGAGCTACATCCCCAGCCAAACCTGTGTCTGTCTTTGTTTTCTTTTCTTCCTCTTTTGAGATAGTCTCACTATGTAGCCCAGGCTGGCCTGACAGTTGCTATTTAGAATAAGCTGTCTCCAATCTCAGGACCATTCCTGCTGTTCCACCAAGTTCTGGGATAACAGGTGGGCACCATCATGCCTGGCTCCTAATTTTTAAATCCATTTCTTTCCCCACGCTGATGCCATGTCTAAACCTGTCCGCATGTCTGTGTCGTTAGATGTCTGCAGAATGCTCTCCATATCACTACACCAGTCAGTTGGTATGGCTCTCTCTGCCCTACAGATTCTCAACAGCTACATCCAATTCGAGGTCTCCCATGGCCCTTCCGACGTGGCATCCATGCAGCTGTCCAAGTCCCGGGTAACCGACGGAGAATGGCACCACGTGCTAATAGAACTGAGGAGTGCCAAGGAGGGCAAGGACATCAAATACCTGGCCGTCATGACCTTGGACTATGGGATGGACCAAGTGAGTATGTACTTGTTGTACCCTCCTGAGAACCATTCCTTCATTGGCCCCCGGGAAAGCACAGTGGTGCCCAATGTGCCAGTGCCTGCAGGGACCTTGGAGGTTTGGAGAAGTACTGGTTGGCATCCCTGGCTTTGTATCTTCTGTTCCACGTATGCTGAGGATACTTCTGTAGTCTGGAGTCGGGCCCTGCCCACCTGGGTCTCCCAGCATGGTGCTTCAGGTGCCTTTGCAGAGCTTCCCCTCGGCAGAGTTGCTCTGAGTAGCATCTCATCGTCCAGCCCCGTGCCTCTCTGTCCCAACGCACAGATATCAGCACGCCTTTCCCAGAAAGGGGAATAGTGAATGAAGCTAGAAAAGACAAGGGACCCGACAGGCTGGAAGACACAGACACACACCTGTCCCAACTCTATGGCAGCTGTCTCCTGACAGCACCCTCAGAATGCTCTCTGAACCGGACTGGTTTCTGCAGTTCCTAGCCAGAGAACATGGCACATGCCAGAAGATACCCACATGCTGAGAGAATGCCTCAGAGTCTTAGCTCACCTTGCACCACATTCTAAGAGTACATAGCTGTTGAGTTTAGATGCCCCTTGCTGGGGCTGGGAGCCAGCTGCGACCCATGGTATTCCTATGCATCCCTCCTGTTAACCCAGCTCATTCTCTCAGCATGGCTCTTTGGGTGCTATGCCCATTATAGGGCAGGAAGGTTGCCCATGTCTTCCCAACTGACCACCTGGATCCCATGCCCTATGTGCCACATACAGCCAGCCTGCTTCCCTCCAGAAGACCAAGTGTTCCTTTGGAGGCTCTAGGGAGGTGACTCGTGTCCCTTTGCCTTGGTCTTTAGCACATTCCTCCCACTGGGAAGGTGTGCCCAGAGACCCTCGTTCTTCCCATTGGGAAAGTGTACCCAGAGACCCCCGTTCCTCCCACTGGGAAGGTGTGCCCAGAGACCCCTGTTCCTCCCACTGGGAAGGTGTGCCCAGAGACCCCTTGTTCTTCCCACTGGGAAAGTGTGTCCAGACACTTCCGTTCTTTCTGTGTAGAGCACAGTGCAGATTGGGAACCAGCTTCCGGGGTTGAAGATGCGGACTATCGTCATCGGAGGTGTGTCTGAGGACAAGTTATCCGTGCGCCATGGTTTCCGAGGCTGTATGCAGGTATGGTGGGCATGGCACTACGTCTTTGCATGGTTGGCTCAGGCCGCCATCACTGCAGTTGGTATCTTCAGTTTGTTTTTAACAAAGGAATGGCCATCTAGTAGGCACCCTAAACTTTAACTCATGTTTCCTGCTCACTCCCACCTTCCCCCATAGCTCTCTTTATGCCAGGATCCAGTCCCTACATCCTCAGCCTTCATCCTCTTGCTTCTGCCATGGCTACTTGGTCCAACTTCATAGCCACACAGGTGTCCCACAACTGCCAAGGGAGTCATTCACATGTCCCTTGTCCCACTCACAGCCCCCTGCAGGGGACACAAACCACACATTCCTCTGCTGCTGGCCATGCTGTGTGATCCAGCATTGCCCATGTCTCTAGCCTCTATAAGAACTGTTCAGACTGGGAGAGAATTTGGGGGCTCCCTTAACTTCTCTTTACCTTTTGGGGTTCATCCAGTTCTACCATTCTGGGACTGAGTCCAGCTGCCCTCACTTTTTAAATGCAGGGCGTGAGGATGGGGGAGACGTCTACCAACATTGCCACCCTGAACATGAATGACGCCCTCAAGGTCAGGGTAAAGGACGGTTGTGACGTGGAGGACCCATGTGCCTCAGACCCCTGCCCTCCACACAGCCACTGCCGTGACACCTGGGATAGCTACTCCTGCATCTGCGACAGAGGTGGGGCCCTCCCTTTACACCACAGTAGAGGAGCCTTTGGTGGCTACGGTGCATCTAGGGAAACTGATTTGGGCCATTAGCTTCCCCGGTCAACTCAATGAGGCTATAGGGTCCTGAGCTGTCTTAAGAGAATTGGCCTCTGTGCCATGCATGGTGGCTCACATCTATGATATCAGCACCTGGAAGGAAATGTCAGTCATGGCAGGAAAACTGCTGCAAATCTGAGGCCAGCTTGGGCTGCATGGTGAGGTTCCCGGGGGCTAGCCTGGGCTACCGAGGTAGACCTTCTTTCAACCTCCCTACTCCCCTCGGAAAGCAGAGGACCTTTCTACTGGAAACAGAGTCCCTTGCCTTTTCTTTCTCAGCCTAGAGAACATTTCGGGACTTTAGTTTCCAAGTGCAGCTGGAACACAGTAGTATAAAAGTGACGTATCCTAATGTCACACATTCACTGGTCACCTTTGGACCTGGTGGGTGGAGACGTACTGAAGCTGTCCATCAAGAGCTCCCATTGTCCATGTGTCTGGAACAGCCAGGACCTACACCCCTGCATTCCACCCTCCCCTGGCCTGGGATGGCTGCCTTCCATGTTTCCCCAGTTTGTCTCCTGTGACCTGGAGGGGAGGCTGTTCCTCTCTTTTGCTGAGTGGCAGGAACCGTCGGCTTCGGGGAAGCATGGGATGCAGGAGAAGCCTTGAAGTAGAGCTTATGCTGGCCCTGTCCCCACAGGGTACTTTGGAAGAAAGTGTGTGGACGCGTGTCTCCTGAACCCCTGCAAGCATGTAGCAGCATGTGTGCGCGCCCCCAACAGTCCCCGAGGCTACTCCTGCGAATGCGGGCCCGGCCACTATGGGCAGTACTGTGAGAACAAGTAAGGGAGCCCATGACACTGCCTGGTGGCCCCCTTGGCTTCTGTCCCCATCTTCCCTGCCTCTTCTCCCCTGGGGGGAGGTACAGATGCCATCCCCACCCTGCCCCTCCTATCTAGGCCACACTGAGGCCCTCACTGGGATTCTCATGTGTGTCTTTAAGACAGATGAAAACATGGAGAAAACCATCATTTTAAACCATTTCTGTAGACAGAGCCTGGTTGGGTATGTGGCCCCTAAAGGGAGGGATAAAGGCACAACTTTTTTGAGTATCCTTCATTTGTCACCTTTTTTTTTTTCCATCAGAGTCGACCTTCCATGCCCCAAAGGCTGGTGGGGGAACCCGGTATGTGGCCCCTGTCACTGTGCCGTCAGTCAAGGCTTTGATCCAGACTGCAACAAGACCAATGGCCAATGCCAGTGCAAGGTGAGAGGCCACCAGCCTGTCCCCACCTCCCTTCGACTTGAGCCCAGCAAGCTGGCCATGCATGCACGGTACGGCCTACATACAAACATGAGTCTACGCACATGGACAGATATACCCGTATATGTATCATAAACTTCCATATACACACATTCAGCTGTATTCACATACACTTCTACCTGTACATAGTCACACATACATACATATACCCACACACGCATGCATATAGATGTTGGGTTGTGCTGGGCAGCGGTGGTGCATGCGTCTAATCCCATGAGGCAGAGGCTGGTAGATCTCTGAATTCAAGACCTCCCTGGTCTACAGAAAGAGTTCCAGGACAGCCAGGGCTACACAGAGAAACCCTGTCTTGAACACCAAAGCAAACAAACATATATTGGGTTGCTCGCCTGTGCTCTGTGAATACTCCAGGGCCGCTCACATCTAAACTGGTTCAGACTGTCCCACTGTGGGATCTAGAAGCCACTGTAGTCTTTCTTCAGCCCCACACCCAACTGAGGAACAGCAGATAAAGGCATTTCTGTGCAGGCTGCCACATCATTGGCATCAGCCTTGGTTTTCCTAGTCGGCTGCTGTCCTGCCCTTTTTACCAAACTGGCAGTTTTTAAAATCTGGAGGGCAGGGGATATGGCTCAGAAGATAGAGCTCACACACTTGGCATTGCACAGACCCTGGATTTGATCCCGGCACTCCCCCCCCACACACACATACACACACACATATACACACACATATACACACAGAAGATAGAGCTCACACACTTGGCATTGCACAGACCCTGGATTTGATCCCCGGAAAATCTGGAGGGCAGGGGATATGGCTCAGAAGATAGAGCTCACACACTTGGCATTGCACAGACCCTGGATTTGATCCCGGCACCTCCCCCCCCCACACATACACACACATACATATACACACAGAAGATAGAGCTCACACACTTGGTATTGTATTGCACAGACCCTGGATTTGATCCCAGCACTCCCCCCCCCATACACACACACCCCTATACACACAGAAGATAGAACTCACACACTTGGCATTGCACAGACCCTGGATTTGATCCCTGGCACTCCCGCCACACACACACATATATACAAGTCACACCCTGTCTTGGTATCCAGACTTAATGTGTGTGTACAGCATTGGACACCTGTTCTCACAGCTTCTGAATATGCTCCTGTGTGCTTAGCCACAACTGTGGGAAGCCCTGCCTCCAACTGCAGGGACCTTCAGAGTTGCCTCTGGAAGATTGCCATTGGGTTTTAGGGTAGCTGTAGTCGCTCAGTAAGGGACATGTTGTCAAGGAGACAGGGTGAGAAGGAAGGAAATTGTCACCATGGGCTGCCTGTGATGCTTCTCCAGTGTCAGTCTGGCCCCGAGTGCTCCATGGTGATTCCAACAGTGACACAGGCCTGGTGCCTCGAAACACTAAGTGTCAAGTTGAAATGAATGTGGATGAACATGGCTCAGGCCTGTCCTTGCATGCTTAGAGGGGCCAATTGCATCCATGAGTGGCAGGAGGAAGGAAGAGGCATGCTACAGCATTCAGGGGAAAGATGCCTACAGGTTTTACTCATCAGAACTTAAAGTGGGCAGGCAAGATGGCTCAGCTTGTAGAGGTCCTTGCCTACTGGCCTGACTTCAGTCCCCAGATTCCGCGAGGCAGCAGGCGTGAACAACCCTAAAGTGGTCCTCTGACCTCCCGACACACCATTGTAGTCATATACACACGTGCACGCATGTACAAAATTCGCATATTGTTAAGTAAGAGCAAGTGTTTACTTAGGTGTGGTACTAGATGCCTGTAATTTCAGCAGGAGGCTGAAGCAGAAGGATCATGAGTTCAAAGCCAACCTGGTCTGTGAAGAGAGTCCCTGTCTGGGGTAGCGGGGAGGCTTTGGAATAGTTTTGAATAGAGAACTTGTCAAATATGCATGAAGCCCTGAGCACCATCTTTTCTTACACATTTTTATAAAAAGTGTAAAAAAAGAGTTTTAGCCAGGCAGGTAGTGGTGGCGCACGCCTTTAATCCCAGCACTTAGGAGGCAGAGGCAGGCAGATCTTTGTGGGTTCGAGGCCAGCCTTGTCTACAAGAGCTCCAAAGACAGGCTCCAAAGCAACACAAACCCTGTCTCGAAAAACAAACAAA